ATTAAATAGTCTAGGGAGGTAATAGGTCCTCATGAAAGTTTAGTATCGTAACAGTAAATCCGACCAAAGTTGGGGTGTTTTTCAAACCCTTGTCCCAAAACAAAAACTATATAGTAAGTAAATTTTTGTATGTATAAAGTTGATGCTTCTTAATTTCTAAGTCATTTTACTTCTTTAAATTTTGATATTTTTTAATCGAATTCTAACTTGATCACGACCTACCCACCAGTGATGGAGCCAGGAATTTCACAAAGGGTGTCCAAAAAAATGAGGAAAAAAATTGTTACTAGTGAGATTTGAACACATGAGCACTTAGGGTCTTCAAGACATCTAAAACTACTAGACTACAACATCCTATTCTGTCAAGAGTGTCCCAAATATGTTATTAATCACTTTGTGTATCATTTTACTTATATATACGCTACTATTTTCTGAAGAAGGGTCTCACTATAGGATAACTACGTACGCCCCTGCTCCAGTTGGACACCCTCATTATAAGGTAGCTACGCCTCTGCTACCACCCACTTAGACTTTCCTCTCCACTAATATAGTGTTTATCTAAATTATATATAAATATTTTTAAAATAATATATTTTTTACTTAATAATTATAAAATAATTTTTAAAAATTACTTTTTTGTTAGAAAAATATTTTCTCCCTTTATTACCGAACACACCCTTTATATCTCTTTTTTTCTTCTCCTTTAACCTTTTCATTTTTCGTTAGAATGTGAGTCATGTTGACTAATAACTTAAAGGCTAAGATCCTTTTTAACTTAATATATATTTTTTTGCATATTTTTAGGAGAAAAAGAATCTCTTTACTACACTTACTTTCCACAAATAAAAGGGAAAAAGGAAAAAGGAAAAAGGAGGGAAGGTGGTTAATTAATTTAATTCTGTTCAGACATAGATATACTTAACTAACTTAGCATCATTAATTATATTCCTTTTAGTCAAAAAAGATTGATCACTAAGTAGATTGAAAATAATAAATTATATAGAAAGGCTATAACAAGTTTTGACAAGAAAATTCGTAGTCGCTATTCTTTGAATACATTCTGATAAATTTCGCAAATCATATAAAAATTATGAATCATACTAGATAAGTCCGTGTACTGAGCTCGATTAGAGAAAAGGGTAGCGGCAAGTTTATTTTTAATTACTCAAATTTTGTTTAATATTGTTGGTACTGTAGTTTAGTCAGCAAATTTCAGTACTTCATTATTTTTTATTTTTTAAATAAATAAAAAACTTATCTTTTCAACTTTAATTTGTTTAATCAGTCTTTCTAATAATCAAGAGTATTCAACAAAAATATCTAACTGCAGGAGTCAAGGAATTCAAGTGCCACAAGTAATACACAGTCTTTACGTTATGATGTCAAACCTTGTCATTTTGAGATTATCCTGTAAAAATTAATTAAATAAACTTAAAATAAACAAGTTTGAGGAGATTAATTATATTGTAATAAACCATACTTTTGTTTGTGTTTGGACATTAGTGAAGGGAATTATATTCCTTATACGGGGATATAGAAATTTATCGAAAATCTAGATTAAAATCTCAACAAAGACAAGAAAAATAATGTTTGTTTAGAGAATAAAAGATAATAAATACTCATAAAATAATTACGCTATCTATAAATTGATATTTTCAATTCACAGATGAATTAGCTAGCGAGCTTAGATGGAATAAAGGATTATTCTTGGGTCTAAAAGTTAATTAATATAAAGTGAAGTGGATTCTTATTTCATTTCTTTATCACTATTCACTAATTAATCATAATTAAATGATATATATTCTTTATCTTATTTTTTTAGTTAACAAGATACTATAAACATAAGTAACATACTATAGGCCATATATAATTAGATAGAGAATGAAGACCTTTAATTAACTAATAAGATAATTAAGAACTCTATTAATGGTATATCTTATAAATATAGTAATTCTATTTTTATTTTTTTTGTAGTCATTATTGCAAATTGTAAAATGTCAAAGTATAGTTGCCTAAACTATATATGGTGGCAGGCACTGGCATCCATGTGATGTTTTTAACGTTCTACCGACATACCTTTTCAACATTCAACATATGCCTACTTATATCTAAACTAAATAAAACATAGTACAAATGATACATTTAACATATTGCACTAAGTTATCACCACACTTGCACCTACCAAACAAAGTTTACGATATCAAATCAACGTAATTTCGTAAGTGAAATCTAAAAAAAATAAAGTGTATATATATATATCTTTTTAAATATATCATTGCTAATCTGTCGCACCTTCTCATTGAGATAACTGCATATTCTACTCCTGATATGTAGAGCTGTCAAAACGGGCTTAGCCCATGGGGCCGACCCGACCCAACCTGTTATTGAGACAAAGTTGGGATAAAAAATTTTAATCCCATTTAAAACTAGGGCTTATATGTGTCAAGGGCTTATAAGCCTGACACATATAAGCCCTTGACCCTTGATGCTTGATTTGGGCCGGGATGAGATCGGCTCATGGGTCAAAACTTTTTATTTAAGGGTAACTTACAATAATCTCACTAGTATATAATCTAATTACTTAAATACACACTATGTTGTAATATTATGAATCTTACCAGATTTTGGTACGTTCAAATACATGTTTCTCAGAATATATGGACTCAAAATTAGGTTAATTTGTTCTATATACACTATATCCAAGTCTATTCACATGTATCTAGGATACATAGACAAATCTCGCGTCCTCGCTTCCCTCCCATCTTGCTTGTCACTCTCTTATCTCGCTCGTGTATCTGGTATGTGAGATACATGCTAATTACATTAGATATTTTGCTAGTGTTATTGAAACAACACCATTGTTTGCGATATTTGATTTAAAAATCTTCTCATTTTCTTGATGTTATAGAATTATAAGTTTGAAAAAAAAAGAAAAAAGAAAAAAAAAGACTAGCACCCCAGCCCTCAATCCCTCTAGGGTTGGGTTAGATTGAGCATTTTCAGGCCTTTATGAAGGATCAATCTGTCTTAGCCCTTCAAATTTCTCAGCCCACAAAGCTTGGATCGGGTGGAGCTGGGCCGATTCTTTTTGACAGCTCTACTTAAGGCTGGGCACCGGACCGGAATGGGACCACCGGACCGGAACGAACCGAAACCGGACCGGATTGTTGACCGGTATCGGGATGAACTGGACCGGAACTACCGGGATGGAGGCTCGGTTCCGTCCCGTCCCACTATATACCGGGATAGAACCGGGACGGACCGGAATGGACCGGAACGGAACGGGATGGGATAAACGGGACGGCACATATAGCTATTTCAAAAAATAATTATTTTTTTTGAGTTATTTTGAATTACGAAAATACGAATGTTTTTATTTTTCTAAGTTATATTAGTTTATAGTATTTAAGTTTTAAAATTTATAATAATTTTACTTAAGTTTATTTTAAAGATATTTTTTTTAATTTTTACGTATATAAGTTTGTAAGTTAAGTTTAATAAAGTTTTTTTTTTAGTTTTTGAGCTTATGTAGTTATGTTATAAGTTTTAAAGATTTGAATCTTTTGAAGTTTATAAGTTATTAAGTTATACTTATAACTTGTAAGTTAAATAACTTAAGTTTGTAATTTTAAAAAAATTAAATAAACAAAAAAGAAATGCTAATAAAAGTAAATAATGACAAAAATATTATTTTTTATTTTAATTAAATATGATTTACCGGGACCGGATCGGTACCGGACCGGACCGGAACGGAACCGGAATGAACCGGGATGAACCGGTACCGGTATACCGGTACCAAATCATGGTACCGTTCCGTTCCGTGTACCGGTTCAATGTATCCCATCCCGTCCCGAATACTACCGGACCGGAACGAACCGGAATGGTACCGGAACGGACCGGAATGGTACCGGTACAACCCGTTCCGGTGCCCAGCCTTAGCTCTACTTATATGTATGAGCTTATAAGAGAATCATTCTAGCATTACTATTCCCTTTGTTCGCTTTTCCTATAAATGAAAAAATATGATAAATAATTATACTCTTGATCAATTGTTAAATAATAAAAGCATGAAAGTTTGGGTCCTATATTTCTGGTCTAAATAAAACAGAGAAAAAAAGCAATTTATTTTCCCAATTTAGAGTACAAAAATAAGGAAGTCTGCAAGCACAGAAAATAATATAGGCTACAGCCTATAACAATTTCCATTTTGTTTTTCTGTGTCCACTTTCCAAATATGGCGGCTATAATTTATTACTCATAATTCACAGTAAAAAATACTAATAATCCAATTTTTAGTTTTAATTAACACTTAATTAAAAAAACAGAAAAAGAACAACCCATATTATCACACGCGCCATTAAACGACACAACGGTTTAATTGACCGTTAATGGATAATAAACCAATGATTTCACTCCACCTGTCAGTATTAAGAAGCGAAGAAAACCACGCGTAGCATTCGCGAGTGGGATTAGAAATTCACTTCCTCTAAGTGGACTCAAAACACATGCATGTTTGAGTCGCTTACATTAAAATTTATTCGACACATTTCATTAGTGTGATGCAAATTTTCTCATGATTTTTTTTATTTTTTAAAAATGAAATTTATATATTTATAAACTATGTAAAAGGTATCATATGTCACAATAATTGATAAATCAAAATATTTAAAAGATATATGAAAAATTTATGGTCAAAAATAAATTTATTTGAATCTCAAAATCTGAAATGTGTCACATAAATTGAGACAAAGAAAAATACTATTTAGACGTAAATGTGCCGTTTAGCTTGATTTTTAATTTATATCTTCCAATTTAAGTGTTATTTATGCATATTCAAAATTGAAGATGGTAAATATCACGTGAAATCAAAGTTAAAAAAAACAACATAATTAGTGTATATATTATGTTTATTTATTTTAGAGAGAGAAAGTAGATAGAGAGAAAAAGAAAAGAAGACGAAGAAGTCTTCTTCTTAGTGTTGTTAATTTCTGCAACTTTCCACATTAAGCTTTTCAATTTTTTTCCAGCTATTTCCAAAAGTAAAGCCCCCCCCCCCCTCTCAAAATAAAACCCCCCCCCCCCCTCTCTCTCTCTCTCTCTCTCTCTCCAGATTTACAACTATTATTACTCTGTTAAAACAATGCTTTGCTTGCATTTTTAGTTTTTGTTCTTTTGTTTTTCAGCTCAATATCATGATGTTTTTTCTCAGCTTCTTCCTCATTATTTCTTCATAATTCACTTCATATTTGGTGGGTTTTTCCTTCTTGTTACTGTACTTCAATTTTTTACTTCTCCTTCTTCAACTGTCCAGAGTTAGTTTTTTTTTTTTGTTTCTAGATTTGTTCTATCCTTTTCTCAATTTTTGAATACCCATTTTGTTATCAGTTGGGTGTCATTGATTTGCTTCTTTTTGGTTGTGTTATGATGAATTTTGGGTTTGATTGAAGTACTGATTTTTATTTTTGGGCTCTTTCAGATTGGAGGTTTATGTATTGGTTATGCAGAGTGTGTTTCCAAAGAAAGAGTAGATTGAAGAAAAGGGTTACAGTTTGGATCAATGGGTGGGAAGAGATCTGTGTTAGGGTGCTTGAATTTGGAGATCTTGGTGGGGATTTTGTTAATTTTTGCTGTTCAGCTTTCAGATGAAACTGACCCCGGAGATGGTAAGGAACAACAAATATTAGTATTATATTTCGAGTTGTTTTGCGTTGAAGGAGAGGAATGCTAATTTTCATGTTTTGGGGAATGCTGGTTATGAGGGACTGAATTATGAGCTGAGCTAGTTGTTAACTTGAACTTTATTTTGGGTAAACGTTTTCAAGTCGGGGGCGAGCTGGAGTTATCGAAATTGGTCGGTTAAATGAATAGTCTTTATCCATTTCCGGAATTAAGTTGGGGCATGACGTTAGATATGAGGTTGCATAGGAAATGGATTAGGTAGAAGATTAGTAGGTAATGGAGTGTTGTCTTGCTTATCCTTTGATGCTGGTAGTCGTAGTATTTCCCTTGGTAGTTTCTCGTCCTTGGATTTGTGTTACTATTATTGCACTGTTTTGTTGCGGTTACCGTTTGTTTTTTTCTTCTCAGAATGCTTTGCCATGCTTTCTATAGTATTTCGCCACTATTTCTTCACTTCTGTTATTTCTTTTTTCGATATGCCTTTTCTTGAGCTGAGGGTCTATTAGAAACAACCTCTCTACCTCTTAAGCTAGGGGTAAGGTCTGCGTACTCTACCCTCCCCAAACCCCACTTGTGGGATTACATTGAGTATGTTATTGTTGTTTGAATTAATTTACAAACAACTCCATCATACACAAACAAAAAACCTTAAAAATAACCTAATCGTTTCACTTACATTCTCAAAAAACTTGCATGCCGCAGTTACCAATTCTACTAACAGTGGACAAGCTGTCATTATTTCAGAAAAAAAAAAGAAAAAGAGACAGTCCCAGGAAATTGAAGGGGGAGAAGAGGAAATGAAGTACTGACTCCTAGGTTGCTAGTCAAGTGTAGGGGGCTATGGCCTCGTCAAGTGATATGTAAATTCAACACATATTATTGTCCTAAATATCTACTAAATTGCCATCTTGATCGTGTAAACTTTGCTTGGTTTGAAGTTAGCATGCTTTAAATGTTTGGAATCAAATTTTCTAGTTCATTCATGATCAATATCAACAATATTCTTATATGGTTTGAAATTTCTAACTATGGCATTTTCCTTTCTGCTGGTCTAGTTGCTGCAATTAATGCCTTACATGCTTCCCTGGGATCACCTCCCCTTCCTGGCTGGGGTGTCGGTGCAGACCCATGTGATGGACAATGGCAAGGGGTCGTATGCCAGGAGACAAATATAATATCCATGTAACTACCTCTTATTCGTTGCAGCATTTCATGGATATTTGGAAGTCGTAATGTTAATCCTTCTAATCATCTTCTTTGCAGTCAATTAAATGCTGCTAACTTGGCAGGTGAACTAGGGGATAACTTAGCATCATTTTCTTCTCTCAAAACGATGTACGTGTACCCCACAGATATATCTCCTTCGACATATATTTGGTTGTGTTTTCTGTGCATGTGCTGCATATATTATGTGGATGCTTCCTTTTCTAGAGGTTTCTTTTATTGTGTGACATGTGAACAATAATTGTGGAAACTTCTTGTGGCAGAGATCTGAGTAACAATCACATCGGCGGAACCTTCCCATCCAGTCTGCCAGTTACATTGCAGAATATGTATGTATTATCATTATCCTAGAAGGGGAAACAGAGAATGAAGCTTGAACTATCACAGCTTACCTTTTGAGCAAACCATTTGATAGTCTTTACCTTTTGGCAGTTTTCTTTCAGATAATGATTTAGCCGGAAGTATCCCCAGTTCTTTATCTTCCCTAAGTCAACTGTCAGCAATGTGAGTTTCAGCTTATATTTTAGATTGGAGATTTCCCGTTACCGTAATCATGGTTCCAGTCAGCTATACTTCTCTTTTGTTTCAGGTCTCTCAATGGAAACCAACTGACTGGAGAACTTCCTGATTCCTTTCAAGGCCTTACAGCATTGGTTAATCTGTATGACACCAAGACAAAATCATTTCAATATTTCCATAGAGGTTTTTAATTGTCCATAACTGGTGGATTAATTGTATACTTGCAGTGATTTGTCAAGTAACAGTTTCAGCGGAGCTTTGCCGTCATCAGTAGGAAACTTGTCCTCCCTGACCACTCTGTGAGTGATTCTACATATTGTTGAATTGGTTTGTAATTTATGACCAATAGAAAAGCAGCTTATTTCTTTCTCTCCAGACATGTGCAGAATAACCAGCTTTCTGGAACTCTCGATGTTTTACAAGATCTTCCCCTCGCAGATTTGTACTCTTCGTCACCATTTTTAACTCAAATATTAATTCCAGGTCCATAGAATGATATAATATCGTACTAATATCTCCCATCTTTTGTGTCCCTCCAGGAATGTGGAGAATAACCTGTTTTCTGGGCCCATACCTCAGAAGTTGTTATCTATTCCCAATTTCAAGTAAGTACATTTCACTTTCTGCTTCTAATATTGTTGTTTATCTTCCAGCATGTAATCTACAATATATTCTTGGCCACCTATTACATTCTTGTGCAGTTGTGCCTCTTTGTTCGACACAATCTGCTAGACAGATATTCAGAAACTATGGAGACAGATTCCTTGTTGAAGTTCGATTATTACATGCCAAACTGCTCTGTACTTTTTGTTAATACTTAATACCCTCTTTCTTAAATCTGAGTGACAACCTTGATCAGCTTGTTATTCATGGACAATTAAGGCAGATAAGATCTGAAGGGCTACAATCGTTAACATAAACAATAATTGTACTCCACCCTCCTAAAGCTGCAGCACATGTATCATCTGTACTCAGCTTCATATTCCCTACCCACTTCAGACCATACTAAACTTTTAGTTAACATACTGGTGAATATCAAACTTCACTAAAGGGGAGAGTTTCTGTGCAAAATGACAAGACTTGAATAGGCTTCATCATCTCATTAAGTATAGATCAGCGGAAGAGTTCAGAGTGGCTTCTTTATTACACCCAAGTTTGTTGGTTGGCAAAAAAATGCAATTGCTATTGGCAAACTTCTCAATTTTCTGAACCTATACGTTTTAGACATTTTATGTGCGTAGAAATTTGTGTGTGAGTGTGTGTGTGTGTGTGTGTGTGTCTGTTTTTATGTAAGTTTGTGAATGCAAGACCTCGTTAAATTCCTATAAGCTAGAAAAAACCTTGATCTGAACTACATTACTCTTTCTCATAAGCAGGAAAAATATTATGAAATGTGTGTCGTGCTAGTCTGTATGTTAGCTGCACCATCTTTAACAATAGTATTTTAGAAAATTGTTGAGTCCCACATCGTGTAGCATGAGGAAGTTGACTCCTTTATATGGTCTTGGGCAATCTTCATCTCTTGAGCTAACTTTTGGGGTTGAGTTAGGCCCAAAGTCTTTTTTATACTATCGGAGATCTGATATGTTGAGGAGTATATTTATGTTGCAAAACCAGATTATGCTTACAGGTTTATGGCACTGACTTAGATTAGAATTGCTAGTGGGCACACTGCATATCAACAGCTTGAGTCCTAAATGTTAGAATAATTTCAAATTACATTAGGTAAAGTAGCCAAATTTTGATATCATCAGCACAATTACCTAAAAAAAGAATAATCCTAACACTATGCTGCTCAATTTAACAATTGGATAAAAAAACATCTAGCCTACACAATAAATTGGAAAAAATGTGACGTATACAAGCTAAAGGATTATAGTAGCACAAAACCATATGACACCCATATATGATGTATATGTCACGCTGGACCATGGACTGCCAAGCTGGATCATGGACTGCATTTTGGTCATATTTAAGTTCACTAGCGGGCTAACATTTATTTAAGTTTTGAACACAGGCGTGATTTTCATATCATGTTGTTCAATAAGATTTGTTTGCCGGGAAATTTGATTTATTGAACAATATTGGTAAGGGTACATATTGATCCATGCTAGGAAGATGTATCAGTTGTTTCATTATTTTTTTCAAGTGTCTTATATAGGTTTTGACTCTTGATTGACTTTAATTATGAGAATTGATGGCTAATGCTTTCATGTACTTACTAATTTTGTTCTTGACGTGCAGAAACACTGGAAATCCTTTCAACAGTGTCTCTCCTTTGTCTCCACCCAACAGTAGTATTGCCCCTTTGTCTCCACCTACTTCATTTACGAGACCCCCTCCAGCACCACCAGGACCACCCTTTTTTAAGCCTCCAACTTCAACACAGACACCACCGACTTCAGACAGAAAACCTGGACAAAAAGCTGATGGACCATCAGCAACTGCAGAATCTAGTTCAAAAGGAAGCAAAAAGTCTGTTAAAAGGGTAGTCTGGATATCCATTGCATCAGTTTTGTCATTTATAATATTGGTAATAGCAATCCTGCTCTTTCTGCCAAGATGCTTTAGGGAAAGGCAAGAAACTAATTGGTCCAGACGGCACGGAATAGCTCCTTATGTGGGCTCCAGGGAGAATCGTAGGGATAATGGTTTATTGGTCCTACCTGGACATGATGTAGAGAAAGGTACTGCAAATTATTAAACCTTTCAACTTTTATATCGTGTGTATTGTTGCTAGTATTTGTTAGTCTGGCTTTTTTCCTTAGTTCTTACAGGGAAAACTAGTACTCTTTAATTTAGGCTCTATTTGAATCTGCAGTCTTGACATCTAAGTATGCAGCTAAATATATAGTGGTTATCCATGTGCCCAGGGGCGGACCCACCCTTACCCAAGGCCTTCGTCAGAAAATTACATGGTATATAGAGGTCAAATTTTGATTTAATAAAATATATACAAGTATTGACACCTCTTGACACAAGTTAAAGGTTCAGTCTAGTGGTTAAGACATTGCTTAATGACTACAACCATTGACACCCCTTAATGACAATGGCCGCTACAGTATTGTCAAATTCTCTATTACAATCATAAACGCCCTACAAAAGATTCGTGAATTTGATATCTGTTTTTGCAACATTCAGAACTAATAAGCTATGACTCTTAACCTCTTCTACTCTTTGATGATAAGTGGACTTCATATGTTTTGAACAGCTCCTCCTCTGGTGAGGCCAAAGGAAGAGCAACAACCAAGGAGACCGGCCCGCACTCCCATGCCACAGCAGGAGCAGGAGTTAAATGTGCAAAACCTGAGGGCAGTACCAAAGAAGGATACTAGTGAGATAAACCTAAGCAGAATTGATATTGATTCGATGTTGCCACCACCTCCACCCCCACCACCACCTCCGCCACCGCCACCACCCTTTTCTCAAGAGAGAGTTATTGTGAAGCCAATTCCACCTGCCGACAATACTTCAATGAAGTTTCCCCACAGGCCACTTCCACTAACTTCTGTGAAATCTTACACAATCGCATCTCTTCAGCAATACACCAACAGCTTTTCTCAAGATAATCTGATAGGATCAGGAATGCTGGGAACTGTGTACAGGGCAGAGCTTCCAAAAGGGAAGGTATAAGTTATGAATGATATATAATGTACTGTAATTTGATACTCGAAATTACCAACTGTTTTCCTACCCTGCTGTATTCTCTTGAACCTAGATTGTCAGCTTTTCTCTTCTTATAATTTCCTTTTTTGGGGGTCTTTACGGTGTTCTGTGAGCACTAAAGATGCCTCTTATCTGTTGTTGCATTACGTATCTTGCTCTTGCATTTCTATGCTTAATTGCTTAAGAATGATTCACGGACTGATCGAATCATATGTAAATATGGTTTTGTTGGTGGAAATCCAAAGTCATATATATTAGGGTAAACTGTATTTCATAAATACAGATAAAAGCAAAATGACTTCCAATTGCTTCATAAGATATTTCTTGTAACTTAAATTTTCTTTAGGACGTTTTTTGGTTCTTATCCTATATAATCTTTAAGTGGCATTTTCTTCCAAATAAACAACACCATTGATCAACTGTTGTCATAGAACAATCAACATTCAAGTTGCATGAGCTTATCATTCTGATTTGTACCTTAGTTTTGTCATTTGCTGTATAGCAGGATCTGCCAAATACTGATGCATCTTTTCTAATGAGAAACTATTTTATAATCAGAATATACAATGTCCCTGTTTTATTTTCAGTGTACATTTATTTATCTGGCATGCAATCTTAACTCTCATCCCATTGCTAACATTATTTGAATCATTTGGTGGTCACATTGTGTTACTTCTGACACTTGACCCTTTGAATGCTTATGCAGTTACTTGCTGTCAAGAAGCTGGACAGAAGAATTTCCAATCAACAGAAGGATGATGAGTTTCTTGACCTAGTAAACAATATTGACAGAATTCGTCATGCTAACGTTGTCGAGTTGATGGGCTATTGTGCAGAGCATGGTCAAAGGCTTCTGGTTTATGAGTATTGCAGTAGTGGGACACTACAAGATGCGCTGCACTCTGATGATGAATTCAAGCAACAACTTTCATGGGATACACGGATCCGGATGGCTCTTGGAGCTGCAAGAGGCTTGGAGTAAGTAAAATAACCAGTCACATATACATAGAAACCACATGCAAATATACGAGTATATACATATGAGCTATGGAAAATCTGATGTTGAAGAGTTATTTGGCCGTGATCTATAAGAAATTTCTGTAAGCAGTACTAATAATAATTTAGCACTGGAAGGTAGCAAAGAACTCAAATCACAAACTAGTCCTGAACTTTCATGCCATGTACATACTACATGACATAAATGATAAAATACTGTTGGGAGATGGTCTTTATAAGTATATGTTAACATTATATTTGGTGCTGTATTTCGGTTTATACTACTTTCCATTCCTCCTCCACATGAGTTCATACAAGGGATGCTGAACACGATTGTTGAAAGAAAATATCCTCATAGTCATCCCACCCGTTAATTATTATTAGTGGGATTGCTAGGTGATCTAATTCTTAGATTTGCATGACAAGCGAGTTAAAGCAAATTTTAAATCTCATGTATTAATTATATTTGTTCTTTTATGCAATGAAGGTATCTCCATGAGGTCTGCGAGCCACCTATTATCCACAGAAACTTCAAATCTGTCAATCTTCTCCTTGATGAAGAGTTGGCTGTGCATATCTCTGACTGTGGTTTAGCTCCACTGATATCATCAGGTGCCGTGAGCCAGGTAACTTACCATCCAAATATTATGGATCAGACATTTACCTCTTGGGGTGGAATGGTCATTTTCTGCTTGCATTTCCAGTTGAAAGAAAAGCAAGTTTCAGGTTTATGATGGAAGTGAAAATGTGGACTAAGTAGTAGTTGTTAAGAAAGGAGTGTAATGATGATCAAAATGCTTCCAAGTAACACACCGGAGTAGAGCAGTAATTAACTACAAATGCAGTTTCTCGTAAATGGATAACTTATTGTTTAGAAATAGTTGATTTTGTAGTAGTGCCAGAAGTTATACGGTCAATTTCAGAAGGGTCAAGTCTTTTTCCCTGTAAATCTGGAAATCAGGAAACAAATCTAGCTAGTCTGAGACTACCTGGTTGCCCAGCTAGTCTGAAGTATTTGTCATGTTTTAGGCTTTTATAACATTTCAATGCTTCACGAGATCTAATAGACACTAGTGGAATTTGTAAGCAGGAGAGTAGATCCTTTCCAACATATGCTGGACTTGCCTTCTCATCTTCACCCCTTGACAAAGAGATGAAATTTAGTGATCCTTGAAACTGTTCCCAACATTCTTCAGAAGTAGTTTTGCCGCTGCACATTTAATATGATGGTGACAAGCTCCTGTATTTTTTTCCCTGTTGGAGAATTTTGACTTCTAAAGATGTGGGAAGAACAGTTTCACTATGTTAGTTTGACCTAGTCATACATAAAGACACTCTACAGGTGCTTTTGTTAGATGGGTTTTCAGAAACTTAAATTCTATTTTATTTTTATGAAGTCCACATTATCTCCTCTCATTAATAAGAAACAGTAAAACACAAGATTGAACTAAACAAGACATCACGGATATGACTGGTTTTTTCACTTGTACTTCGTATGATTATAGATCTGCTACTCTAGGAGCATGTGGATCATCAATCTTTGCTGAAACCTTACCTTTTTTGTTTTTCTTATGCACTGTGCCGAAGAATTTGAAATTGAATAAGTGAAGTTGTACTTGATTTTCAGTTGTCAGGACAACTTCTTACAACCTATGGCTATGGTGCCCCAGAATTTGAGTCAGGGATTTACACTTCTCAGAGTGATGTTTACAGTTTTGGCGTGGTGATGCTGGAACTCTTAACGGGCAGAATGTCATATGACCGGTAAGGCCATTTGCATCTCATTGAATAAATTTTGTTGTCATGTTTTCTCCCAGCTTTATCATTACCTATATATCATATTCAGAACTCGAAGTCGAGGAGAGCAATTCTTGGTCAGATGGGCAATCCCTCAGCTACATGATATTGATGCCTTGACAAGAATGGTTGATCCTTCTCTCAAAGGAAAGTACCCACTTAAGTCATTATCACATTTTGCTGACATAATTTCCCGCTGCGTTTTGGTGAGTTTTTTAATCCTTTCTTTTATTACAAGTGAGTAATTTGTCCAAATCTCCATTTTCTTCAATCCTTAATCAAACTTTGGGTACAAATGAGGAAAAAGGTAACATGGAAAATGATTTATTTCTGTCACAGAAAATAAAATAAAAAGTAAAAGGAAGGAGCTGTACTGTGTCAAAATAGGAACTCTACACATGGTGTCTTTTGTTTTTTATAGCCACTAGATTATGAATTATTTACCAGTTTAAGGACATCTGTGAATCTGTAGTATGAGATGTACCAGGTTTATAGGCATAGTTAAAAGTTACAGGGAGTGGAAACATCCCATGTCGATGTTCCGATATCGTTTTCTGCTCAGGTGTCTGAATGCCTTTTCATGACTCGTTGAAGAGTGTGTGTATGTTGTAGTTGAAGCAAACAACACTAGGAAAGTCTGGATCAATGAACAATTTACCAATAATACCCTATTCACCAAATTAAATCTTGTGGCAGAATACGCATGGTTAACTAGCACACAATCACACACCAAACAAATAAATAATAAAAATAACACAAGGAATTTACTAGGTTTGTCAAAACCCATTTCCTCGGGGAAGAAGCGGAGAGAATTTTCCACTATAAAAGATAAGAAAACAGTACCAAGAGATCCCCTATTACAACCCTTTTAAATACCCAAGTGTTTGCCCAATCCAACTGCCCCAGTCTAACAATATAAGCAAATAATAGTGGTTCGAAGCTTTTCGGGGTTGGGTCACATTTCGGATCTGCCAGAATCCAGACACAAAGCTGTAGAAGCAACAGATATATTATATTTGCTTTCCTTCTTCTGCTTATTGTTCTCCTGTCTTATTGTTTATTCGGTGGGTGTTGGATTTTTCACTAGGTAATATGCAATTTTTTGTACAACCAAATGCTTGTGTATGTGGGGGAGAAGAAGAATGAGGCACCACTCTATTGATTGGATATTTGATTGCAACTGATATATCCATTGTATTTATATAATGGTCAAATTTTCAATGTTTCAATGAACAGAAATCGATACTGATAAGTTAAAAGGAACCAAGTAGTTGGTGTAACTCCAATGTGAAGCCTGTTCACAGTGTCCTCCCCATTATCATCTTTCAGTTACCCTTCTAGCAATGACAGAGAAGAGATTAAATGCATCATATGATTTCTTAGGGACTATTTCCATTTGGCTCCACCTTCCATATCCTATTCCCGCTATCTTATAGATTGATCGCACTCACAATTGTGTGCAGAACAACTAGTACAGAGTACTATATTACTGTTAATCAAGGAAGAGTGAAGTAGTTTTCGTGTGGCTGTTTTCTGAAGCCCATCTCATATCTCTTCCTAGCATGACTAAGATTTAGCTGTTGTATAGGATTTGCCTTTGCATTTTGTTGTAACTATCTTTAATATTTCCTTGCAGCCTGAGCCTGAATACAGGCCACAAATGTCAGAAGTGGTTCAAGACCTCATACAAATGATAAGAAGAGAATCTCCCAGTAGATCCGATGAAGAATGATTTGAACCAGACATGCATGCTATAGCAGATTCAGGCATGGAGTAACCAAGACTTCCAAGATTTTTTTACTTTTGCAAAGAACTTAACTCGAACTGAGATACTTGGAACCAAAGATTTTGAGGCTGTAGATGCAGTGCCCTGCCAGCAAAGCTTCATACCTCCAAGACAAAGGGCTGGCTAGAAACTGCACGATTTCCACCAACACAGCTCGGGTTATCCTGATTCTTAGTACAATTTTTTGCAATCATTCTAATGTTCATTTATAGTCCAAACAGAAACCACAATGCATAAAATGCACTAACCCCATTGTTTTGAGAGCTTATTTATGGTTGTTAATTGGTATATCTGAAGTTGTAAATCTTTATTTGTTCTGCTGTACATTTTCAATTGTTTGTACAAGAATATTCTTCACACTTTCAATATGGACTTTCTGTAGCACATTTTTCAGCCTTCAGTATCATCATGGATATATTTAATAATCACTTGAAGGTTGTAATTTTATAATTCCTCCAAACATTATGTTTTTTTTTTACTTTTTCTAGTTGGTTAAAACTACCAAAAGCGCATGAGGTTACCAATTAGTGGCCAGATTGAGTATAGAATTCTTTATGAAAAAACTGTTTTTCCGTAATTACATCTAGAATATTTTTCCTTAAATTGTGAGCTAAAATTTGGCATTATTTGGCGCATCACTTTTTACCTTTTTCCTACCTTGTGGTTAAATGATGTTTTTATCTTTTCTCTTCTTTTAGAAATAAAAACTGAGGTAGGGGATTACAATATAGAGAATCCAACGTGTGTACACATATTATATGTCTACTTATTCTCAATCCATAGTATTTATTTCTAAGGTTTTTGTCATTTCTTTTAGACAAGACGTTTTCTTAAATGCCTCACTTAATTAACAATCGAAATAGTGATAGATTTGAAAGAAGAAAAATTTACTAGTAATAAATAATATTTTGTTTTCTTAAACATTAATTATTTTGAAATCGGATGGAATATATATTTATTAATTTAAATTCACTCATTTAGCTGCAGTTAAGTGAAAATAAAAAGAAACTGAATCAAGACTCAAGTTCACCTATAGCCGAATAAATAGATAAGAATATCCCATAAAATTAGTAAAATAGTCTCGAGAGTAATTAATATTCGTAGTCAAATGCGGGATAAAATAATTTCATTGGATATCCTAATATTGTTATCTCCATATAAATAGAGTGAGTGATAACTGTTTAAAGCCTTTGTCTCTGCTGTCATCCCGTGAATGAATAGCTACTTTGTAACGTGCAGTGCAATTTCTACTGGCAAAAAGAAGAAGAATATTAAAGCAGAAGCAAATTCAGGGAAGAAAAAAGTAGTACAATATCACTCTATTTTCACAAAAAAGTGAATACATATTGGAAATCTAAAACCCAAGTTGTTCAAGATTCAGATTTGAGCTTGTTTGCACATTTCCAGATCTGTGGAATAGGTGATGGCTGGGCGTTACAATGACAATCCTTTTGCTGAAGAAGATGAAGTGAACCCATTTTCGGTATATACCCATAGACTCATTTTTACTCTTCTTAAGTACTAGTACTATCTTGTGTGACATTTTGAAAATTGTGGGTTTTAACGATATGGGCTTTTGAGGGGGTAAATTTCTTGTGTTAAAGATATGTTTTTTTGCAGAAAGTGAATACTGGGTGTGGAGTTTTGTTTTGTTGGTACATATTTTCAGATCTGTTACTAAGATTGTGGATCGTGTTTTCCTATTCAACTTCTTTTTTGGGAGAATGTAATTGAAATGTTTAGTCTGGGTTAAAATAATTCTGCTTCTCTAGGATTTGGGAGCTATTTGAATTTCAGTGAACGAGCTTGTAGTAATTGAGCTATTGGAGAATTGAGTTGTGGCTTGATTTTCTTATCAGAATCATGCAAGATGACAATGTCTGGGGTGGGATTGTTAGATTAGGTGAATAAAGTAGTTTCTGCAATAGAATGGGAATTTTTTTCTATAGAGTGATGGAAGATTAAGGGTGTGTTCAGTATGAAGGGAAATGTTTTCTAGGAAAATAAGTGGATTTCTACTTATTTTCTTGTGTCCGGTACACAAGCATAAAGTATTATTCTAAAAACATTTGTGTATAATCTAGACAAATAATATGAGAGGTGGTGTGGTGGGGATGGGGGATACGCGGTTTGGGGTGAAGATGAGGTGTGATGGAGGGTGGAGAGGACACTCAATGTGGAATGCTACTTGTTTTCCCTACTTCCATTAGGGAAGTCATTCTTAAGGAACTTGTTTTCCTAGAGAAAAAGTTTTCCAAAAGTTTTGACCAACCGAACATGAGAAAATCGGATGTTTTCCCTCATACCGAACACAGCCTGGAAGAAAAAATATCAGTTGTTTGAGCAGGAGGAGAAGGGTGGGAATTTTGTTGCCTTAGCACAAGTGTCAGAATAATACAATGTGGCTGCAGTCTCAGAATTTATTTTTTGGGATAATAGTATTCAGTATGACATCTTTGGGATGATTGGTTGTTGTTTGGTATTTATGGATATTGTGCTCAGTGCTGATTTAACTTTGGCAGATAGAACTTACATTTTTCCATTTGTATTTTGCTCTTTCCCACAAATTATTACTTGAATCGTGCTTCCTTTTCTTTTCTTGTTTTTTAGTTTTTTATGTGCTTCATATTTTTCTTGTTTTAGGACCGAGGACCTCTACATAAGGTTCAATAGAACTGGCCCATTTTATATGAACACGATAAGATTTTCTTCCAAAATTCTTGGGAGTTTTCTCATTTGAAAACTGAGTTGCGAAGATATGGAAAAAGAAATTATTACATTTTCTTGAATTCTAAATAATCTTATGTAATAAACGTGCAAAATTTTTCTAACCCCATGAAAGGCCCAAGTGCTGCTGAAAAAGGTGGATCACACTAAAGTTTTCTCATAAAAATCAAGCCTCATCTCTCGGATAAAGGAAGCAATTCCTACCAGAGTGTGGATCATCCTAGTTAGCCAGTGTAGCAGTTTACAGCCATATAGATATTGGGATTTGATTTTATTATTGATACTAGGGTCCCCAACCAAGTATCTTAATACTAGCTTCTAAGGCCTTCTGATAACCTGTCAATGTATTTAACAAAATGGTAATGCATTTGCAACTAGTGTGGTCAGCAAAATGAGGGGAAGTAGTTTGTCTCCTTAGCTATTTCAAAATCAATTTTGTCTACACACCCTACTAGCAAAATGTACAACTAAGGGCTGATGTTTATGCATTTGTGTTTTATTAAGACCTTGTCCTCTGTCCACAATGTAACTTACGGACTTCATTGACATTGGGATTATCAATCTAGTTTGATATTCTGAAATAATTGGAGCAGGAAATTTTCAATCTCGTAAAAGCTGATGAATTGTTTCTTGTGTGCATATTATGCAAGACTTCATCTTCATTCTTGAATAGTGAGAATATCCATTTGCATATTCTTCTTTTTAGTCTTAGTAATGGTACACGGGTACCTTACTTGCGCATATTATGGCACTTAGTACTTACTAAATTCTGCAGAATAATGGAAGTGTTCCTGCTGCTACAAACTCGAGGCCTTATCCTCTTCCTCATGAACCTGCCGGCTATGATCGTGGCGCAACCGTTGATATTCCTCTTGATGGTTCAAAGGTAAAAGAATGATTTGATAAATTGAATTTGCACTTTTTTCTTCCCTGTGACTACTATACCTGTGTTCATTTGGAGTATAGGTTTGAGTGATCATGTATTTTACTCATATAACTAATCAGGACATGAAGAAGAAAGAGAAAGAACTCCAAGCTAAAGAGGCTGAATTAAAGAAAAGAGAACAGGTGGGTTGTTACTCTACATTTATGTCTTGCGTATCTTCCACAATAGAAAACACAAGTTCTTTCTATTCTATTGCTTGTTAATTATGGAAAACGTGCAAGATTATCTACTACCAAATAATTATTGTTGTCTTGCTATAGATGATATTATCTCTTATTTGGCTCAAGGTGCTGCGGGCTGTCTTTTCCTTTTAGGCATTTTGTATATTATTAATTGTCAGTTTTATTGGTCTAATATAGGAACTTAAAAGGAAGGAGGATGCAATAACAAGAGGTAGTTTTCTACTGTATACACGCTTGTCTTTACAGTCTTTGAACTAATTCAGGGCTTTTGCTTCTTTTTTTTCCTCTGCTAATTGACTTTAGTTCCAATCTTTCTTTTTCCTTTTTCAGCTGGTGTAGTGATTGACGACAAGAATTGGCCACCTTTCTTCCCCATCATTCATCACGATATCGCAAATGAAATTCCAATTCATCTACAGAAGCTGCAATATGTTGCATTCACTACATTGTTGGGTATGTCTGTATGTCTTCCCTATAAATATCTTCTCTATGGATGCTATTAGTGCCTCTATCTTGACCTTTCCAATAAGTAATCTTCAACCTTATAGGTTAAACTGACCTGAAAGATTTGGATGCATATTACTTTACCAATGTTCCAAAAAAAAAAGAAGATTTGGATGCATATTATTATTATTTACTACTTTCTTGGTTGACTATGTTCCAAAAAAAGAGAGTGTTCTGTATGGTATTCCAAGCTACCTATTTGCATAATAGTAGCATTTATGCTCCCAAAGACTTTAAAACATAAACTCAATCTTTTAGACAAGCTTTTTGTGCAAATGGTTTTAGTGACACATGGATTAAGAGGGTCTACGATTTCCTCTAAGTGCCTGCTATTGTCTGTGGAATTTGGGGCAAAGATTTGAAAGTCATACTAGTTCATATCACTTGTAGCTGTACATCTCAAAACTACCAGTTCAAATGGAGATAAAAGAGAATGAAGGAAATTTTCTAGATGATTTTTGTTAGAATGATTCATTACAGTCATTTTCTTTCTTTTATTGTTCAATCAGACTACTTTCTTGGAACTGATTTCTTTAGTTAATGCTCATATGGTTGAGTGACATTGGACATGGTAAATTGCAGGTCTGGCAGTCTGTCTTGTATGGAACCTTGTTGCTGTCACCTTAGCTTGGATCAGAGGAGAAGGTTGGGGTTGCGCTGGAACTTCATTTACTGACCTCTCTTATTCTTTTGTGAAAATTAACCATCTAAGGTTTACATTTTATTGTTGTAGGTCCAACTATCTGGTTGCTTGCTGTTATCTACTTAATATCAGGTGTCCCAGGAGCCTATGTATTGTGGTATCGGCCTCTCTATCGTGCAATGAGGTACATATTGTGCTTCCTTATTGTGGAGAAATAGTTGTGTGCTCACCTATGGGAGGGAATTGATTATATTATTTTTCTTTTTATTTCTGTAGTGTGATTGTCCCTTCCAAAAGAGTTTATTCTGATATTCATTTTGTTTGCAGGACTGACAGTGCGCTGAAATTTGGGTGGTTTTTC